CTGCACATTATAAAATTTAAGAATATTAAATTCGAATTTTAATATTCTTAAATTTATTTGTGTATTTCAAGTTTACTTGAATTAAAAGTAAATATACGTATAAGTTTTAAAAAATATTTATTAATAGAGCAAAGAAATGGTATGAGAGAAAGCTCTTTTCCTTATTTGATAACATTGACCAATTTTTATCTTTATTGAGCCGAAGAAAAATTTATTAACAGAAGCCTAACATTGTATGTATTTATGGAAAATTCTTAATGGAAAGTGAATAGAAATCTAATAATTTTTGTTAATTTGTTAAGAATTAAGAGTCCTACGTTACTATTTCTTTTATTTACACGGAATTTCAAAAATGTAAAAATTCAAGACTTTGAGAATAGTTCATTTATACTGTTTACATTTACCATTTACATTCGTATGTTAATAAAATGATATTAATTATATTAAATCATACACAATTGCTTTAGCAATATTAATTTATAGTTTTCGTATATTGCCTGGTAACTGCATATGTTATACAGAAAGCTATGAAATTTTAAAAGCAAAAGATGCTGTTTGTGAATGCCTCCCTAATTGAATCCGTTAAAAGTTCTATCATATTGTTGTAAGACAAGTTGCCACATAAAAAGAAAAATGCATTGGATTTTAAAGTTTTCAGTGTTTTCTAAAATTTTGCACAACAATTCTATTTATAGATGTCCAACAATCTGTGACAAAATTTGATTAATAATCATATCATTAATATTTTTCCTTATATTCTTGGAATAACGTGCTAAAAATTTTTTATTTTATTTTTTCTTCTCTTCTTGTTTTTTTCTTCTTATTGCTCTTAAATTTTTGGCTATAAAATTCATTCTTTCGTTTAAGTTCTTTGTTTTTTATTTTTTTTTTTTTTTGTTATCGTTTTTTATAGACTTGGAGTGCTATTAAAACTCTTTTTAATGCATTTTTATATTGTAAGTAATTGCGTTCTGTTGTTTCTTTTAAAATCAGTTCATCAGTCGTAATAAAAACCAAAATAATGGCACATCAAACATTTTTCTTTTGTTGTTTTTGTTTCTTGTTCTTTGCAAGATAATTTTTTTTTGCTTTTTTTACAAAACATTAATAATTTTCATAAGAAAAATTTTTCGTATATATTTTAATTTTATTAAATGAATATATATAAAAAAAAACATCTGATAATAGCGAAAATTTTACGAGTCACGCAAAAAACCAAAAAAAAAAAAACAAAAACACTGAAAAAAATTCTGAAGTAAAATAAAAAATCCAACCACAAAAAAATGATAAGTAATTTGCTGCATAAGAATGGGAAAAAGTAAAACAACAACAAAAAAAAAATTCAAACTGATTCTTTAGTCATTAAAAGAAAGAAAAAGAGAGAAAAAAGAACGAAACCTTTAGTTTTTATGAGAAAATACAAGGAAAACTCAATAATTACGATACCATATGACAGCCACATCATAATAATATCATGATTCCCTCTTGGTTTTTAATGTTTCAAAAGAAGTCCGACTGATATTCTTGGGGTGCTCTTTTTTTTCTTTTTTTCTTGTGCTTGCTGTACCACATTTTTTGTTTTATTGCAAAAAAAAAAAACTTTTTTTTTGCCTCATTGCTTTTTACCATAATATTTTTTACTTTTGTTTTTCTTTTTTTTTTTTCTCCTTCATATTTTTATATTATGCTCATGCAATAGCATAAAGAATAGCATACAGATAAAATATACATACATATATACACATCTATGTATGTTGTAAGTGTGTGTAAAAAATATTTATTACAAACGATAACATTTTTATGTTTGTTAAAATTTCATTTCTCCTTCTTTTTGTTTTTCTTTTTTTTCAGAAATGAAAAATAATATGCTTTTCTCTTAAATACAAAAATTTTGGATCGTATGTCCAATGCACAAGTTGGAAAATATTTTTTTCATCTCGATTTTGTATGATTATTATTGTTATGCAGTACATATCATGATATGTTTGACAATGTTTGACAATGTTTGATAGAGCTAAGAAAAAAAAAATGATTCTAAATGACGTTTAGCCAACAAAAATCGCAATTTATGACAAGGTACCAGAAAAATATTGAGCTTATAAAATGCCTGATCCTAGATTGAATCATTGTAAAATACTCATTCTACTGCTAAAGGAAACAACAGATTACGTTTGGTTCAAATCTGCCCTTACAGTTCATTTAATCTTTAAAAATTAATGTCTGACATATAACTGTGTTATGAAAATTGAGATTCTGTAAAATTTTGTACGCAGATTTTCTTCCCTCCCTCTCTTTCTCGAAAAATTAATCAGCATAAATTTTATTTCAAAGAATGCGTTAAATTTTTTTCATACTCCTACTCAATTTTAATAATAGTTCCTGCAATATCGAAGCGGCTAAAGTACTTCCTAAAACAGCTCTCGTACCATTTTGATTTAAGAAAATCTTTAAATTTAAATATTTAAATATAAATTTCTTTATATTTACTTTATTTATGGCTTATTCAAAGAGTAAGGATGCAGCGAAACAATCACATAGATGGTTTTTTTTTTTTAATTTACCCTACATATAGGCACCAAGATTAGTATTATTGATATTATTAGTATTATCGATTTGTGAACGTTGATTTGAAATATACCTGCACTCACAATTAGTTAAAGGAAAAGATTTTTTGAAAATATTAGTAAATTAAAAGGCATTGTTAGGGAATCCTAATAAAGGAGAATTTTTTCATATTTTTATATTGTATATAGGCAATCGTCATTACAACCGCATTGCAGTGTTTTATAATTAATTTTCACAAATGAAATAAAAAAACAAAATGAGATACAAAAAATTCCCAAAAGGCAATTATTATTTTTTTTTTAAGATCTTTTTTTTTTTTCTTTTATTGTTCATTATTGCCGCATTTACTTTCTTTATTCACGAAATTTAAAAAAAAAAAAAAAAAATTCTTTGCTTGCTGTTTTAATTGACTTTTTGACTGAATTATTTAAAATATTCTGAAAATAATATACTTGTATTGTTTGTTGTACATATTTATTAAGACAGAATAAATAAGATTTTTCATAGTTTCCCGTTTTAATAATAATTATGATATCTTTTAAATGAAAATTAAATTGAATTGAATTGATCTGACCGTCTTTATCAAATGAATGGGGGACAGTCAAGATAAATAGTATGGCTGCAGCTGATCACGAGATATCCTATTGAAATCTGTTGCAATTTATAGTCCTTGTAATAATAGAATTAAATATTTATTACTGAATAAATTATTTTATTAAAATATCGGCATTTAAAATTTGGAATAAAGTTATTACATTTTGATGGTGAGAAGGACATGATTCCAAAACGAGCGCTCAAAAAAAATAAGAAACTACTAGTTAACTCAAATGCGGATTTAAATTGAAATTTCTTTATTCTATAATCGCTGCATAAACAAAGTCTATTAACTCAAAAAATATGATTTCTTGGATTGGTATAGAGTTATAGACCATCAAAACATTTCAGAAAATTTTTATGAACAATACAAAAAGAATTTTAAGTTTTGTTCAAAATTTACCGAAATTTTATCATGCAAAATAATTTGGGTTTTAATGAGAATTAAATCATTATTACTATTACGAACATTTTTGCTAGTTCATTCGATAGCGACTTTTTTAAGTTAGCACAATTTGACTCTGTTATATAAAACAAAATAATTTTACTTAGTGTCTTTGAAAATTCATACACAAATTTTATATGAACTCAATTATTTTTACTCAAAAATCAAATTTATTGACTTAAAACCTTTTAACAATTAAATTAATTGTATATGTGTATGTAATATTTAAACAACCACAATAATATATAGTAAATTCAAAACCTACATTATAATTTTTTCCATTAATTCGAAATTTAATCTTCGAAATTATTATAGGCAGTAGTAAAATGTAGTTAAATGTAAAAATTACCATAATGAGGTTAAGTGGAATATTAAATTTTGAAAATAAACAAAAAAAAAAACAAAAGAAAAATTAAATAAAAAATATATATATATATATATATATATTATTTGAACACATAAAACATCTGAGAAAATTAAAATATTTTTAATGATGGGCAGATTTTCTTTTTTTTTTTTATAATTTAATTTCATAGCAATATAATCATTTCAGGTGAAGAGTTGAATGAACTCATAAAATATATTGCCAATTTGGTATAATAAAATTTTGAATTTTAAATTTATGAAAAATTTCGTTGCGAATTTTTATTTTAAATTTCTTAAATAATTTTGAAATTAGTTTTTCCGACCGTTTGTGTACAATTTTTATTTTTATAAATAAAAGATTCTGAAATTTGAGATTCAAATAAATTCAAATTTCTTATTCAATTGTATTATTCAAGCGTACTAGTGCCCAAATTGAAAAAATTAGCAAAGTGAAAATTCAGGTTTTCCAATTTAAAATATGGTAATAGTGGCGCAAATTTTTGAGGGAATTTCTGGGAGGATTCCTTTACAATTGCCTTTAACTATACATGGCTTTACCTTTAACTGGATGCTTTTTTACGTTTTAAATACATTTTACTACTGCCTATAATAATTTCGTATAATGTAAATACCCAAATATCATACTGAAGTTTAATGGGGATCATTGTTGGCATATAAGAGGAGACCATTTGAGTCCGATATCAAAAAAAAAAACCTGTTTTCCATAAATTTAAAATTTGTGTGTGCCCTTAAATTCATATACTTTAAATAGACTTTTAATTAGGCAAGGAAAACTGTATTTAATTACGTGAAGACAATAAAATACTTTTGAATAATATTTAAAATTACAGAATTAAAAATATGGTCTTGTATAAATAAGAAAAATTAATTTTATTTTTAATTTAAGTACAAGAAAAAAATGTTTGTGTTAATTTTATATTAATTATAAAAATATTTTAGTAATTAATTTTCAAATTAAAAAATTTATCAATAATATTCTAATTATATTTCTTATTTTTTTTTATTTCAGGTAAGCTTCAAAATTATCATTTTATTATTAAATACCCGTATGAGTTGAAAATTTATTAACTGCTTAAATGCAAATTATCCTTGCTACAATCATTTAAATTTCAAAATATTCCTGATAAAATCATAACCAAATTTATAAATTCAGTAAATAAATTTATTTTTCTATAAGGTTTCTTTATTACAAACCTATAATGTATTTTGGAATATTGTGTATAACACATTTATTTTAAAACTATTGAATTAGTTCATTTGGTTTATATTGTTCATTACCATATGTACAGTACGGTAATGATCTCAAAAATTACAAAAGGAATGCAAACGAAATTTTAGATAATAAGATTTAAAAGCAACTCCTCCTGCGGGTATATTAATAATTACGAAAAAAAAAAATTGGCACAATTACAAAAAAAATTCCTGTAAGTTTTATTTTTTCTTTATTAATTATTTATTATTTGAAAAATTTTACTTTACTATTAATATTTAGTATCATAATGAAATATACTAATTCTAAATTTTCTTAATATTAGAATATTTACTTTTTAATTGATTGGTAGCTAGCTCATTTACATATTTTTCTTGAACTTTTTGTATTTAAGAATTTTTAAGAGTAAACGTTCAAACGCTCACGTTTATTGAAATAGATCAACAGTTTGTTTACGAGATTTCTTTTTTACAAAAGAATTGAACAATAAAATTTGGAATTTTTAAAAAAAAAAATTTAATTTATTTAAATATTGAAAACATTTTGACTTTAATTAATAAACAAACAAGAGCATAATGACTGTTCCCACTTTCAGTATATTTTTTTTAGTTCTAATGAATAGAGAAGATTTTAACCATTTTAATTCCAAATTGTAAAAAGAACAACAAAGAATATTTTTTTTTTTTGTTATTTTTCCTATTTACTTTGATATTTTTTAAAAGCCATTAAAAAATCTTTTTTTATTTTTATTGCACTGTGATTTTTTCTATAAAACTATGAGAACAGAGAAGAAAACAAAAAAAAACAGCAACTACCTACTTATAAAACCGGTTTTAATCAATTATTGATAAGTACACAAAAAAAAAAAAAAAATACATACTTAATAAAATGTCAACCTATGAACTCCAAAATTTAAATTTTATCAAAAAATGAAATACAGTAGAATCATAATAAATTGAATGTGTTGAAAAATAACAGATTTTTATAAAAGACTGTGAAATTTTTAAAAATAATTTTCTCAGTTCGTTTGAATTATGAATGAAGGCCAAATATTTTAAACTAAATCGATAGGTCTGAGTTTGGGTTTACACTCTCAGGCTATGTATTTTTCTAAATTTTGTTTTATTTAATTAACACTTGACGAAAGTAAAATTTTTAGTGTAGCTAGGCATTATTCTATTTTATTTGATTAAAAAAACTAAACGTAAATCCATTTCTATAATCAAACAAAGACAATGAATTGGATTTAAATTCTAAACTGTGCCTCAGTGGCCGCATAGATGTCATTAGAATTTTATTTCGATTTTTTCTTCATGATCAAAATTTTTGTTAATATTTTCGGAAAAATCACAAAATATAGCACAAATGACTTTGTAAACAAATTTGAGTACATTATTATTAATCAAGTGAAATTCCTATTTTATAATTAATTTAAAACAAAATGGTTTTCAATAAAATGCTTATTTTCAACGATAATTTCTCAAGTTAACAGATTTCATTCATAAAATCAGCAAAAATGTCAGAAAAATCTCTACATTATCTATTATCTACTTTGCACTTCAATAGAAATTTTCCACGAAACGATTCCAGTTGAATAAATTTCCTTTTAACAAAGAAAATTTAATAATTTTAATTCTTATTTTACAATGAACTGAGCAGTCAGCAATCTTTTATTTCCTCATATCAATTTCATATGTTCATTATACAGAAACTCTATTGCCTCTTTTTCCAAAAAATAAAAATAAAATAAAAAAATAAGAATTAAATCCTTTTCTTTTGAAAAACAGTGATTGTTTATATTGAATTAAAACAAAAAAAAAAAAAAACTCTTTTAAAAGTGGAAATTTTTCAATCTTTTAAAAAAATATTTTTGTTAATTAAAGAGAAAACAAATTTTTTTTTCTACCCTAGTTTCACTCAATGTTTTTATTTCTCATTCAATTTTTTAATTCCGATTCACCCTCTTTATAATTCCTCCTCTCTATCGCAAACCCCCCAAACACTTAAAACTTAATTTATTTTTTGACAAAATAAAAAGTCAAAAATATCAATTAAATTTTTGTTTCCCCATTTTATATTTTTATATGAGATTTATAAAAAATAAAACAAAAAAATATTATTGAAATGGCAATTGATTCAATTAATTAAATTCAAAAATTTTAAGGACTTTATTATCCTTTTTATTTTTTGTTTGTTTTTATAAAAAAAAAAAAAAAAAACAAAAATATCAACACAAGTACAAAATGAAAAACAAAAATATTTTTCTAATTAATTTTATTATTTTAGCCTATTTTTGGGCGTGTTCTCTTTTTTCTTTTCTCTCTTTGTAGCAATTTTGAATTCATTTTGATTACATTGTATTTATCGTTTACTCGGAAAATTTTATAATAAAAAGGAAAATTTTTTTATTATAAATTTTTTATAATTTATTATATGAAAAAAAAATCTGATGTGGTCAGCACATAACCGACCGCATTGTGTATTGTCTAGTTAAATGAAAGTGTTACAGAATATTATAAAAATGTCTGTTAAATACTTCTTTCCAATTTTTAGGACATTAGTAAGCTTATAGTTAACATACTTAGAAAAATGTAAATTTGGCTCTTAGTAGAGTTTCGCTTTGTGCTACCCGAATTCCCTGAAATGCTCGCCAGTTAGTTTCGGTAACAACCAGAACTCAAATATCAAATTTCAAGAAATTCCATCAATTCGTTCCGTAGATATGGTGAAAAATGTAAAATCGGCCCGCACATCAGTTTGCGAGCCCTGATCTTTCCAAAAAATTTTTATGCTCATTGCTTTAATATGAGGAGTTCATATATTAAATTTTAATGAAATCGGTTGATTATTTCTCTTTATATACACAAAAATGTATATTTTGCCCTTAGTAAACGTCTAGTTGCCGATGCCTGATTTCTTCCAAAACATACGAATTTTTGCAGACGGTCGAGCTGAGCTTATATGTAAAATTTCAAGTAAATCGGTTGAATATTTTCTTCAAAATGTTCAAAAATGTAAAACAGGCCCGCTTAAAAGTGCAGTTCCCGAGGCCTGATATATACCAAAAGTTGATCGATCCGTGCCATGGTGGAAGCAAACTTACATATAAAATGTCATCAAAATCGGTTCAGCCGAACTTGAGATACACGCATGCACACACAAACCGACAGACCGACAGACCGACATTTTGCTAAAAATAGTTTATTTACACTTCCCTACTATGGAGCAGTACGTTCCCACCGAAAACTCGATATGCAAAATTTGTTGCCATCACATAACCTACCTATTGTTTACAAAATAATATATTGCATCCCTAAAAGTATGCTACAGTATTAAAAAATTTCATATTTTTTTTTGATTTTGCAGGATTTCTATTAGTTCTAAAAGCTTGGATGAATTTTGAAAAATAATTAAATTTGTTTTATTTCATCAAAACTTAGATGAATTGGGAAGACTACTCTTAATAATGAATAAATTCGCTAATAATTAAAATTTGACCAAAAATAGAAAAAATATTTTCAAACGCCAAAAAGTAAAAGTTTATGGTTACAACTCCAGCATGCCCTGAATTAGGATTGATTTCGGATCGTTAGTGGTTGAATGGGGGGTGCGAAATAATGCATATTTAAAAACCTTTTTAAATCTACTCCTTAAAAACAATTACAAAGCTACAGAAAATATTTTTTTTAACAAATTAATAAAAACAAAATGTTTTGAAGCCGATTTTCGATTGGATAATTTTCCTTTCATTTTAACTTTCCTTCTCTTTGTACTTACTGTACTTTGTTAAAATTTCGGGTTTCCAAGTAAATACAATAATCTTTTATTAAAATTTATTTATAATATTTTTAATTTTCTAAAATATTTTTGATCCCAAACATCAAAATAAAAAAAAATTTTAGTATTAAATCAAAAAGAAATGAAATTGAAATTTTAATTCAATATTTTAAATTTTTTTTTTTTTTTTTTTTGGAATAATAAATTTATTAATAAAACAACTACTATGTAATTGATATTTTGTTAAAACTTATTCTCTTGCATTTTCCAGGACCCTAATCTAAAGTTTCAAGTCAGTAGCTCTTCTAGAATTATCAATACTTTTTCATAATTATGTTTAGGTCTAAAAGTTGAGTTTCATTAAAATTTACTAATTTGTATAAAATTTATTCATTCTAAATTCAACCATTCCTAAATTTCAATGTCATGCTAAAGATGTTTTTGTTTAATTTCAAATTTCAATGATTCCTTTAAGTAAGTAGGAAAAAAAACTAAATCAACTTCAATTCAATTATTCTACTAATTTGAATTTGGTATTTGCATCTTGTTTACGTATATACTTCGATATTGTCAATAAAAACAATGCATTAATGGCATTTAACAATAAATTCTCTTAAAATTCATATTTAAGAATTATTAACATTCTAAATTTTAAATATTTTAAAATTTTCTTGAAAATTTTAGAAATACTGAAATATTGTAAGTCATGTATTGAATACAAAATTTATCAGCTCTATACTGTTATTGGTCAACACAACATGGCAGTGTCCGAATATGAACATGTTGTGTATGTGTACTATCTCGCACAAAGTATATACTAATATTAGTCATTATAAGATTACAATATTTCGATTAAATCATAAATTTTTCCTTTGATATTTGAACACAAACAAATTCCTTTAAAGAAATTTTAAATTAATTTTATTCGAACAATGTTCTGTTAAAGCCACAAAAAACGTGTTTTATTAGCAAAAAAAAATAAATACAATCTTAGAACCTTAACCAAAAAGTTTTAATAAATGTTCAATAGGCCTTTAGATTCAATATAACTTTGTATATGTGTTTGTATAGTTGTGTTTTTCTCTGAGATATTTCTCTTGTCAAAGAGACCCTATGGTAGCCACAAAAAAAAAAAAATATCAAATTTCTTCTCATTCTTTTAAAATTTTTTCATCTTCATTTAATTTTTATTTGAAAATTCTTTTTTATAAAAAAATTTTCCCATCCAAAATTTTTCTTTTTCTTCAATTTAAAAATTGAATCAATTATTAAAATTAAGTTGATTTGATGTATTATTATTCTAATTATAAATAAATATTTGCTTAGTACCATAAAAACGAAAAGGAATAAAAAAGAATGAAAAAAAAAATTTTTCTTTTTTTTTTAAATTTACTTAAAATATGCCTTGAATATTTTTAGTCCTTTCCATAATAATAAAAGCAAAATAAACAAGAAAAAAAAAAACCATTTCATTTTTTCTTTTTTTTTTTTCTGTTCTCTTTTTTCAATATAAAAATTTGAATTAATAATACCTCTTATATAGCGTAAAAATGAATTTGGCCACCAACCATCTCTACTGACAGATTGATGGGATAAAAATGAATGGAATGACAGCATATAGAATTTAAACGATCCGAATTTAAAAAATGATCCTAAAAATGGCATCATAAGCACTTAAATAAATTGAGTCTTTCTCATATAGACACTGAGATTAATTTAAAAATGGAAAATGCAAGTTATCACCGTCTTTAGTTACATATTCAAGTGGTATCAAATTACATCTTCAGTACGATACTAATTTCTGTTCACATGAAAATTGCTGACACAGCGTCTGCAATCGAACATGTTTAAACATGAAGAAATTACGAAATTATCGTTCCCATCAAAAATGCTGACGAAACGTCTATAATTTTGCACGAGGCCGGAAATGAACTTAATTTTAATTACTATAAATACTGTTAGATTTTAAGATATGATTTAGTCTAAAATTGGTGTTAATAAGAATAGAATATTATAATTAAACTATCAATTCGAATTTAAGTAATTGTAAAATTTAATTTTTAAGTAATAGTTGTGACATTGTGTGAAATAAAATTATTTTTTTATAATCGAATCAAGATAGTTTAATAACTGGCGCCCAACGTGACTTGAATCGTGAAATCGCAAAACTCTTCGTTAAATTTTAAAAGAAAAGAAGAAAAATAAGCATATCGCGATAAAAGTGTACCCAACTATAGTGCGCGTATTGTGGAAATCCGAAGTGAAATAAAAAGAAAAAGGAACTGAAGCAAACCGTACTTACAAAAAAGTGTTGAAGATTGTGCCGCAGTAGGACGTTTACGAGAATAAAAGTTCACGTCTAAAAAGGACAAACACAACTCAACCGCTATTCGCATTACTCACCAAGACTCAAACAGATGAATTACGTTTTTTTCCTGTAAGTAGTTTTTCATTACACTTAATCTTAAAAACTTAACTGAGGGAAACTAACTGCATCTCACTGAATAAGCTTTAAAAATATAGAAGCTTCGTTAATTTTAAAAAAAATTAAGATTTAAAAAAATTGAAGTGATAAATGAAAATTAAATTGAAAATTTGAAAAATTAATCAATTAACCGATAATAAATTGAAAAATTAAAATTTAACCAATAAATATTTAATACAAAAAATAAAACAAAAGTAATTAAAAATTTAAATGAAACCAGTAAAAAATTAATAAGATTAACCAATTAAATTTTATATTACCAAGAAATATTTAATTAAAAAATAAAACAAAAGTAATCAGAAATTTAAATAAAACCAGTGAAAAATTAATAAGATTAACCAACTAAAAACTTAAATTTAACAAAAAATTTGAAATTAATCGACAAAATTTGAAAGAAAAATATAATTTAAAAGTTTAAAACCGCGTAATAGAATAATTTAATTAGTGAAATTACCTTAATAAAAAGTTAAAAATGGAACAAATAATGGAAGAGCTCAAAAAATTAAATGGAGCCATCAATGCTCAAATTGAACAAAGCAAACGGTTTGAAATTCGCCTAGCAAAACTAGAGGCTCAGTTCAATACACCACAACCGCAGGTAACAAATTTGGCAGCACCGAAAAGTGAAGACGACCTGAAACAAATATCGAGACTTCCGGACTGTGTCAAAGATTTACAAACCTTTGATGGCGATGCAGTGCAGTATGTATCATGGGTGCACAGCGTAGAATCAATTCTACGAGATTACGAAGTTGTCAGAAACAAACCCATATACAGAGCAATATTACAAGCTATTAGAGGAAAAATTAGAGGTAGAGCAGATGCAGCTCTAATATCGTACAACCTGTTCGACGAAGAATG